CGCCCTCCGGTCTGCTCCGCGCGCCCCGCCCCTGCGTTCCCTCCTCGCCGGTGCGCGAGCCAGCGAGCGAGTTTGGGATTAGGAAATTGAGCGGGCCTGGGTGACAGAGTCGCGGGGCCAGTCCCAGGGAAGCCGCGCTCCCGCCCCAACCCCAGCCGAGGATGGCCTCTACCGCCACCTGCACCAGGTTCACCGACGAGTATCAGCTCTTCGAGGAGCTCGGAAAGTAAGCGCCCTTGCTGGGCATCGTGCGCCCCCTTTCTAGCAGAGGGCGGGTCGAGTCGCCCCCAAACCACCGGCCAGTGGCGTGGGGCGAGGAAATTGGGGATGGAGTGGGGGTGGGGGCTGGATCCCTGGTTTGTCGCTCTGGGGAAGGCGCTGTATCGGGAAGGGGAGGGGACTGAGCGCTGACGCCTCTGCCCGAGAATCCCTAGCCCCTCTCCCGTACCCCCATCCCCGCCCGAGAGACTTACCGTGAATTACGGTCTCTGCAGTTGTAGCTGTCACCCTGCGAAGTGTGTTGCATGTGTGCGCGCGCGGGCTGTGCGGGTGGAGAGGAAACGAGAGCCACATAGATCACGTTTTCTGTAAATAGAGATGCCTCCGGGTCTGACTCGCGCACTGATGAGACGGTGCCATATTTATTGATGCCGAAAGTTCAACTTGGCTTGGTGGAGAGTGACTTTCACATCCTCTAGTTGTTCTGTCCAGGGAAAGGGCCACCCTACCGAACCCAGCCTCCTGCCCCATATCCGCTGTTGTTCTAAGCACCGGATCACTCGTTCACCGACGTTCTTCCCGGGATTTGAGAGAGCATCTTTGAGCTCCCTTCGAGGATTTGTTTCTCCAGATAGCAGACACAAGCCCTCTGGAGACCAGGAGAGCGCTGCCCAAGGGTAGCCAAACTTGTATAAAAGCACCTCTTTCGCTCAAGTGGCAGAACTACTTGGAGATCTCACGACCCGGGACCAGATGCGTACTGAGAACCTGTGCCTAGGGACCGGGAGTACAGCCCCGAGTGCTGATTTATGTAGCATCAAACCCAAGCCCAACTCCTCCATCTCTAGTTTCAGCTGTTACAAAAGGGAAGCGTTTGCATGTATGTTGTTGGTTTGTACAGTTGAATTCAAGGAAAGGTATATATTTTTTAAATTAAGGAAAAATATACCCTTATATATTGTCTGCTGTTAAAGATTGAGACTATGTTGGAAGAGCAGTTTAATTCAGGCCTCTCCCCTCCCCCAGCCCCAAACAGGTCAGAGAGAAATCACCCTAGCAGGATTTGTTAAACCACACAGCAGTGTGCTCTGGATTTATATTTTAATGAAAGCAATCACCATATTTACTTACTTGGAGCCACATTAATTATTTTCCCCTACCAAAATAAATAGGCAGCACATTTTTGCTGCTTCTCACTTCTGCTCTGTGCAGGGTTTTCCCAGAGCATTTGCTGTTGTGTGAGTGTGAAATGTAAAATACTTTCCAAATTCCGGTGCAAACAGCCATCGTAATTAGCAGTCCCTTTCATTTTGTTGACTAATAAAGAGTGCTCCCTTTAAGGTAAAATTTTACTTTTTATTCCTCAACATTTAAAAATATCTGGGTTTTCTGGAAGAAATTTTTAAATTTCTGGTTGTTACTGAATTACACTGATATTTGACAATTCACTGAAATTAGTAAAAATGCTCTGGTTTTATAAATGTTTAACAGGATATCAGATCTGATGCTGTTGATGACCTGCAAATGATTTGTTTCCAGGGGGGCATTCTCAGTGGTGAGAAGATGTATGAAAATCCCTACTGGACAAGAGTATGCTGCCAAAATTATCAACACCAAAAAGCTTTCTGCTAGGGGTGGGTATTTTCAACCATATGTGTGTCAGTTTTGTATTCATCATGTTGTTTGTTGATTTTCTTGTAAGTATAGATCATTAGTTATAATTGGATTTCAGACAGTAATAACTATTAATATCAGTATTAAAAATTGAGATTATTTTTCCTGAATGCCTCTTTGGTGTATATAGTTTAAAAATAAATGAACAAATATGATTATTATTTAATAAAATTCTGTCTTATGAACAGTATGTAAATAACTATCTCATACAGCAAATAAATGTCACTTAAGTACATTTTACTTTTAGTTTCAATATAAAATAACTTTTAGAAGGATATTGGAAAGGAGAAAATTTAAGACATAATTTAAATCATAATTCCCTTTTGCTTTGAGAGGAAAAATGGGTCAGTTGAATCATAAATTTTAATTGTAGTTACACTTGAACTTAATTTATCAAGGTATATTTAACAGTAATGGCTTTGGGAGGAAAAATTTTGTGATTGCTATAGTCTAGGAAATTCAACTTTATTTTGATGTTCTGAATGCAGTTTAGACTTCTGTTTGGCCTTATGCACTGAATCTTCATATGGGATCATTTAATGTATTTCACACATACAGTTTATGGCCACAGTGATAACTCATAAAAAACTGTTGATATAAGCAAAAAGCTTGGAGAAATCCTAATACATTCTTTTTATTTTTGTCACACAAAAGTACTTATACTAAAATGTTAGGCATTCCAATTATTGTGGGTACATATCTAAAGTAGTTCCATAGGAATTTTTGTTTGATGAAATAAAAATTAAAATGAACAAAATACCATAGTGTAAGCCCATCTTAGTGATCTGGTTTAAGTAATACGAAAAAAAAAATTCCATTGGAATTAGCCTTCCTCATTTAATATGGTTTTTCAAAACTGCTTTTTATGAGTATCCTGGTGTCACTGCCTTTGTTCTTTGGTATGATTAGGTTTTTTATATTCATTGCAAATTCGAATTTAGCATGTACTTTAGGTTGGTGGTTTGTTCGGATCAGGGGATTTTGTTGTTGTTTCCTTCACCTGACTTTAATATGATACTGAGGATGATCTATATAATAAAATAACCAGCACTATAGCATCATGGTATGAAAACTACTGAGAAATATGTTTTATTAATTATTTTTCCTTCTTAGTCTCTACTGCATAGAAAGGTTTTTAAAATGCTAGGAGGTGCTGAACTATAAAAAGGTTGTTTTAGAAAAAGGAAAAAACATAAAAATGTGTAGTCACCTTTTTTTCAGTGATTTTTATTATTTCTTCCTATTGGTAGGTATTTGGGGGTATTATAATACCTATTCCAAAACTTTTAGTGATTTTAAATTTTCTCTCAAATCAGTGTAGTGATTCAGATTTACTAACTTCCTTAGATAGAGTCATCCCAATTCATAATCTCTACATCAGAATGGTAGGAATGGTCCTTTTTCACATACTTTCTACTCTCTGCTGCCTCTCATCTCTGAAAGATGAGTCTTTGCAGCCTGATATGGCTAGTGGAGCTTCTCCCTCACAAGCCCATTTCTTAACCTACCCAAGTGTGCTGTTGAAGAACATCATGATTGTTGGAAAGCATTGCTTGGGGCCTGAATTGTGATTCTCATACTTAGTGCCTGTGTGACTGTGGACAGTTTGCCTATATTCCCTGAGCCTCATGTTTTTCATTTGTTAAATTGGAGATTTAAAGAATTTTTCTTTTATATATTTTGTGTGAAGTGAATGGATTAGTACAGTATAGAATAGCACCTGCCACACAATATGCATGCTGTTACTTTCTGATAGGGTTGTCGAAGTTGTCAAATTATAGTATTTATGTCAAATAAATTGAAAATTTTAAATCTAGTGGAAGATTTGACTAACTGTGGGAGCTCAATGTGAATCTCAGTTCTACTGCTTACTAATGTGATCCAGTCTTTTACCTTTCCTGGATCTAAGGTTCTTCATCAGTAAAATGGGAAAAAAGTACCCATGGGATCTCAAGGGGTGTTTCACAGATGCAGTGATTTTGTGAGAATCACTTAAATTTTAAAGTGCCATGTCAGTTTTACCTGTTGTTACTGTATCTATAAAAATTATAGACTTTTTTTCTATGAAATTCTCAACAGCTGTATACAACCAGAGCTGGTTATTGTATATTTGTATTTTTAATGTACACATTTTATAATCTATTACCGATATTAAATTACAAATTCCTCAAGAAAAATGCCATGTTTGAGGACATAGAAGGGCTCAGAACAGAGGTAATAAAATTATGGTTGTAAAAATATTTGTAAAGGAGTTAGTTTAATTCTAAGAACAAATATATACTGACATCTATAAAGTAGTATGTTAAAAGCACATACATACTTTAGCTGGGGATATAGCTCAGTCATGCTGCTGTCAGCCTGGCAAGTGCAAGGTCCTGAGTTCGATCCCTGCTACCCCCCCCCATAAAAAGAAAAGCACATACTTTAAAATGCAATTTTGAAAATCAAACTCTTTTCAGAGAATATAATGATCCAAGAAAACATTTATTTTCAGAAAAATTTTCAAAAATGACATATACTCAAAGGCAAATGTAGAATGAAATTAAATGCTTATTTTTCTAAGGAACTGATTTTTGGGAGCTGCGGCAGTTTTGTGGGTGTGTGTGTGTATGTGTGTGTGTGTGGTAATGAGATTAAACCCAGGGCCTTCTGCATGCTAGGCAAACGCTCTAGTACTGAGCCACCTCCTAAGCCTTTTAACAAATTTTATTTTGCAATAGGGTCTTATAAATTGCCTAATCTTGAACTTGCGATCCTTCTGCCTCAGCCTCTCAGGTACTCTTCCTGGGATAACAGAATGTGCCACCATGCCCAAGGAAACATATTTTTTTTGTGTGTGTACAACTTTTTGTATTATTTGAAATTCTTTGTCTTGGTAAATCCAAGTGTTTTGAAGACCAGGCAGTTCCTCCAAGTCAAGTGGTATTTTTTAGATGTAACATTACAACTGAAAGAGAAAGGACCATATGTCAATAAATCCAGGACTGTGAGGGAATTGCCAAACATTTGGCTATGTTCCTGTACAAATTTGTGTATACAACTGTACTGTCACCTAGGCCTTTTTTTGTGTTTAGATTTTAATGGATTTCCAGCAGATAGTTTCAGTTGTGTTTCTTCCCAGCTGTTAGTCACAAACCCCAAATTTGGGAGTCTCAGAGTCTATTGAAGAATTTATTTCCTTTTCTATTAGCATGTGCATGCACAGAACATTCATAGAAAATCTGGTCTCTTTAGAATAAAAAATGGCATAGAAAAGTCTTAACCACTTGATATTTTATGTGTAAATTCTGTCTTCTGAAAAGCTAGTTTTTTAGGAATGGAAGGCACACTAGTAAATGGTGAATAATGACAGAAGTTTTGTCTCAGATTTTCCCCACAAGAATTAGAAATTATATAATTTTAATCCTGATTAGTACTTAGTAAATGCTCATTCATTCTGCAATACTATCTTTGCTAATTTGCTTTTGGGACATGTTTTAGAACTGTAAATTGTTAGATTGCATGAAGTCCAGTGAACTGATGATTCTGATCTCAGATGTCTTTAGAAATAGTTCCTGTGATTTATTTTGCATTTTAAGCATCTCTATGCTAATGACTTCTTGACATTCTTCTTCTAGTGTTCTTCATGATCTTTAGAAGCCACTCGTTATTACATCGTCTGATTTGCCATAAGTTGTTCTTGTAAAATATAATTATTACAACATACACTTGAAATACTACTTGCTTCTACAAGTATATTTTACCTCTATTCCATTGCTGAAGTTAAAAAGTTTTCTTTTATACTGCTTTAAAACTTCATCATGTAGTTAAATCATTTTGATTTTTTAAATTTTACTATTTTTGTTAATTCTTAATTGGTAGTATTAATAGAATATGAAACCAGGACTTTATAGAAGTGCTTGGCCATGTACAGAGAACTAGTAATGTATTTATATATTTCTAATCTTTTTTATGTTTTAATAAGGATATAAAAAACTAATTCCTGCTATTCTTTTTACTTTGACATCGAGGCAATTAAAAAATTACTACAATTTTTCAATCTCATGGTTACTTGTTTTGAGTTGGAAATAAAATTGAGATTCTATAGATGAATCAAGTTGCAACAATTATACATTATTGATTTGGCAATGTGGAACTAATTGGGCAAATTAATATTTGAGGGAGTCTTGGCTAAAGTAATGGTTTAAGACACAAATTAGCAAATCATTTTTATTTTTGTACATGGAAACACTATAATTCTTAAGTTACAGGGTCCAGAAGTGACATGTATCATCTTTATTATTTTGTGACCTTTAGTAATGTTTAGTTGTACTGACATTCTTACATACGCCTTGAGATTAGACATTTATTTTCTTCTTTTGATTAATGACAATATTATAGATGTTTAAAACTAGTTATAAGGTAAAAATAATAAAAATGTATATCCACATTTCCAGGAAATAATAAATATCCTTCATATATTCTTGTTAGATAAGGCAAACTTAATAAAGAATATAGTTGTTAGGTATCTCAATATGAAATTAATAAACAGTGTCAAACTCTGCTCAAATGATTGCATGAGATTTACTCAGAACTTCCAAAAACGTTTGTTTATGCAACTAGATTAATATTTTTCTCTTTCACTGAACTATGAACTTAGTATTAAAAACTAAAATTTAGTACTAACTCATCTTTTATGAGTCCCTTTAATGTTAGTGAACTACTAGAAATCACTACTGGTTTGTCTTGGACATTTTACTTTTTTTGTGTGAACCACACTTTAACTTATTTCTACAAGTCTTATCCTTAAACCTACAAGGATGATAACCTATAGTGTCTCTAGGATTGGGTTGATATCTTTTTAATTTTTTTAACATCTGTCCTCCATTTATCACAGTATATTTTACACTATTTTTATACATCAGCAGCAGTTATTAATGATTGTTTATATGGGAGCTATGTTAAAAATTTGAAGTTATAT